ATGAGCAGGCAGACTTCAGAAAAACCTGAAAGACTTGTATGGTCTGATGCTGTGTGAAGTGAGCAGAACCAAGAGAATGTTGTACATAGTAACAGCCACGTTGTCTGATGACTAATATTGATAGACTTAACCCTTCTCAGCAATACAAGGATCTAAGACATCTCCAAAGGCCTCATGATGGAAAATGCTATCCACAAAGAGGAAAGAGCTATAGAATTTGAATGCAGATGAAAGCATACTATTTGCTATTTTTTTTCTTCTATTGTGTTTTGTTTCATCTTTCCGGGGGTTCCTCCTATTGGTTCTAATTCTTCTTTACAACAGCACTAGTGTGAAAATATGTTTATAGGAATGTGTATGTATAGCCTATATCAGATTGAGTGCAGTCGTGGGGAGGGAGTGGGAGAAAAATTTAAAACTCAAAAGCTTATGGAAGTGATTTTTGATAATTCAAAATAAATTAATTAAAAAAAAAGAACGCCCCCTCCCAAAAAAAGATTGGGTTACCTTTAGCACAGATTTCTTTACTAGTTGATGATTTTTCCCAATGTCCCCTTCTTAAGTGAAATTTCTTACTCTTATAGAGCATGTTGAGGACTGAGATGCCATTAAAATAAATTATTTTCGGAGCTTTGACAAGTTCAATAATGTTTTCCATTTATTACTAGTATCATCTGTGAATATTCTTGGGATGATGAAGATTAGTAGGGTCTTTCTCATGGAAAAGTTTTGATACAATTGATTTGGTATCCATTGATTTTTGAGATGATATTGTTCATAATTGTTCTCCATTGTTTTATGCAGTTTTAAAAATAAATTCATATTTTAAACTGTTGTTGCCTTTGACTGCAATCTCTTCTTGTAAAGGAGCTCAGATGTTTGCTTGATAAGGGAATTTCTAGATTATTTTAGCTTCTTCATTTAACATCAGTTAAACTTTTTCAGGAGTTGGTCATAAACAAAGTCAATATATCTACCCTTTTCCATGTATAGTTCATGAACATCTATTAGGTTAAAATAGTCACAATTGGATGTAATGCCTTCTTGCCTCATTATCTCTTCCTCCAATTTGATATTGATTTTGACTTTTGTTCTAAGAAGTTGATAGTCTGACTGCAGTGTGATATGACTCTCATATCATTATCCAAATATTTATTTCCTACTGTTAAGATACAGTTAATTTCTTTTCTTTCTTTCTGGTGATATTCAGTGCTGGTTATGTTCAATACTTTACAACTGTCTTGTGGAAGAAAGCATTCATGATATGTAGGCACAAGACTTCTAATAGATCTATAAGCCATTGATCTTCTCATTTCTTAAAACTTTTGATTTGTAGGTTTACTTTCTATTACCTTCCCTATTCTACCTTCACGCTCAGATTACCAAGTATGTGTTGAGTTAGTTTAGAGTATGGGTTCTTAACCTGAAGTTCATGAATTTGTTTAAAAATACATTCATATATATATATATATATATATACACACACATACACACATATACATATATAATATATATATACACATACATGTATAATGTATATATATACATATGTATATATATATGTATATATATACATATACATATATAATGTATATATATACATATATACATATGTATATATATATATATGTATATATATACATATACATATATAATGTATAGCTATATATATATAAAGAATTGTATTTTAATAGTTTCTATTATAATCCCATTTTAATCCTAATTTATTTTATGTACTTGAAAACATTACTAAGGAGGTCCATAGGCTTCACCAGACTGACAAAGAAATTTGTGATATCAGAAAAAAAAAGTTAAGAGTCCCTGATTTAGAGGATGAAGTGGTTCCTTCTCCCTCTCCCTGGAACTTCTCCACCTTTTTTTATTCTCTGTACTGGAAACTGATGCATAAACTGAAATTATTTTTGTGGTGCTCCATTTACTTATGCATTTTTTTTGAGTGCTTTCAAATGTGATGACCAAATATCCCTTGAACTGATAGTTCTATTGTCTTTGGGTGTAGCATGAAATGAATGCCATCAGTCCCTCTGTCTCTTGAAAAAAGAGGCCATGAGTCTCTATCCTCTTCTTTGTACTGGTTCAGGTCCTCACCACCAGTTAACTGAACTACTGCAGGTACTTCCTAACTCTTCTCCCTGACAAAATTCTCTCCCCTCTCCACTCTTTTTTGTAGTTGCCAGAGAGATTTTCCTAAAGAACAGATCTTACTATGTTTCTCCCTTGTTCAGCAAATTGCTTGATTTACCTGATGGCTCTTTAATCCTTCACAACCTGACCCCAACCTACAATTCCATTATGATACATTCCTCTTCTGCATCTATTTTAGAATCCAGGAAACATGGCCTCCTTGTCCCTTCTTAGACATGGTCCTTGATTCTCTATCACTTTGTACTATCTTTCTCCAGGCTTGGAATGTCCTCCCTGCTCACCTTCAACTCTTAGAATCCTCTATTTCATTCAAAACTCTATTCAGGTTCTATACCTTCTCCCTGAAGTTTTTCCTAATCCCTCTAGCTTTTAGTGCCTTCCCCTTTAAAATGACCTTGTATTTATTTTATATGTACCTATATGTGAACATGTTATTTCCTCTGAAGGAATGTAAGTTCTTTGAAGGCAGGAAATGTTTAACTTCTGTTTTTATATCTTCAGTGCCTAGAACATAGTAGGTATTTTATAATGGATAATTGATTGATATATTGATCTTTCCATTGAGATGCAACAATCTTTCTTCACAAGAATGTCAATTTCATCAACAATTGATGTGAAACTCATTGGCCTGTAATTTGAAGTATATTCTACTTTTCAAAAAAACAATCAGGATACTTTCATTTCCACTGCATCCCTCTCAGTCTCCATGATTCTCCAAATATTGTCCATTGTTCAGAAATCCTATCAATAAGTTCTCATATCACTTTCATAGAGCCTTTTGTTGAGATGATAAACTCCCCCAGCTAACTTTAGTTCCCAAGAGAGGGACCTTTCTTGCTACCTCCTTACTTACTCTGGATTTCAAATTCCGTTTTTGTTGCTATTGTTAGTCTAGCCTTCCCAGTACAGAGATCAAGGAAAAGTAAAAACATGTCATAAAACCACAGAAAGGTGGAACACAGCTCAACCCGCCCCCCCCGTCTTTTTTTTTCTTCCAGTCTAGCTCTGAATTAGAACTGGGTCTCCTTTTAACACATTTCCTTCCCCTCAAGAAACTCAATAATTGATGGCTTTTTTGAAACCACCGTTGACAACCTGAATGTGTCTTCCCTGCAGAGTGTCACAGGGTCTTCTAGAGCAATTGGCTTTACCATGCCAGTGCCTCCTAATTAGAGAGAGGTTTTAAATGCCTGAATTACTCTGAAGATAGGCTTGCTCTGATACTTCAAAGGATCAATTCCTGCACATCACAGGTGGCACCTGCACTGCCAAATAATCTGAGCTTTAGTGTTGAATTCTTGCTTTCTCAATTGCTTTTTTTTTAAGTGGAAAGCATATTTTTGGAATCCTGGCAGTAAATCAGTTTGCATATAAGGCAGATTTCTTGCCCAAGACTTCAAGGGCAAAATGACTGAGGCTCATCAGAAAAGTTTCCCATGTCCTTAAAGTTCAATATATCCTAAAAGTATGGCATTTTCTAAAACAAATTGTCACATATATACATACACACATACATATATACACATATGTACATGCACACATATATGTATATACACACACATATATGTGTATGTGTGTGTGTGTGTATATGTTCCACACAGATTCTTAAAAAGTAGACCTTAAGATTTAAAAAAATATATTTTCTTGCAAAAACATCAATTTAAAGGTGAGATTTTCTTAGTTTAGGTAAGAAATTATTTACTTAAAGTAAATTCAAAAGGCAAAGAAGGCTGCTAGGAATCCATACTAATCAGCATATTTGTAGACCCCAAATTATAGGCTAGATTACGGTTCAATTATCATCTGTTACAATAGACTACTTGGATCAGACTGACTAGGTTCTTTCTACATCGTGGAGCACTCTAATTCTGCCTTTCCTATTAAACAGTCTTTAGGTCATTAATATCTTTTTCTGCATCAGGAAATGAAGACCTTCATGCATTAATAGGAATAAGAACCAAATATTGAATGAAAGTAATCAAAAATGAATGCCTATCAAATGAGACCACCTGGACCCCATTTGCTAGGTTCAAAGCATGGGGGAGGTATTTTTTTTTCCTAAAGTCTGGAGGTAGAGAATGTCCCATAGATGGAAACTAGAACTTAGAAAAAGAGCAGGAGTCCACAAAACTCTACCTGTAAAATATTGCTCCAACATCTCTCCCACATGCAGAAGAAGCAACATTTCTAGGACAGTGGAAGTGAATTGTATCTGTCGGATACTGCTGGTCCAAGATAACTACCCTGACCTAAGGTAAGTATTGTAAAGTGCCAAGTGCTGGAGCCTGCTGTCAGTTTTTACATCTTGCATTTAACCTCAGTTCCTTCTATTCTGGGAGGCAAAGTTTAATAGTGGAAAGAGGAATGTTGTTCACACACTACTTAGGAACTGCTATAAAATCACCTTGCTTAACTGCAGAGGACAACCCTGTAATTCGATAAACATATAGAGACAGCATTTTCCCGAAGGACTCTCCCCTTTTGAGTGACAGCAGGTGAAGTCTTTGCTTTCAGTGTTCCAACAAGAAACTTTGAAGATTTGCTGTGTCTTCTCCTTAAATGAAGAATAGGCCATAAAAGATATTGGTTTTCTTTCTCATTGCCCTTCCCTCTTCTTCACCACCTCCTCCACTCCAATTCCAAATTCTCAAAGCACTAAGATCATCCTGGCAGACAAGAAGGGACAATGGAGGACAACAAGAGTGATAAGCAAAAGATAGGCAATCTCTCTCATCCTGCTTTTTGCCTCTGCAAACTTGGGAGAAGTTGTCCAGAGCTGCAACAGGAGTCTGCAACCTGGTCTCAGCTCTGGTGGGTTGGGCAGAGCGAAAGTCTTAGGCTTTCAGGTCAGAGGCAACAGGGCAGGCTGCACTTATCCCCCAGCTTGCTGGTACCTCCCTGTGTCAAGCAGGGGCATTACCTTGGGATCCAACTACCTTCTACAGGAACCAGGTATGCCGGATGCAACTGTTCAGGACGCTGCCAAGCTTACAGGTAAGTTGGGATATCAGTGGAAGGTGGGGGCAAGATGGGGAGGATATCCTGGCTGGTGTAGGTCCCTTCAAAGCAAAGGGAACCCTGTCAGGTGTAGCAAAAGAGCTGGCCCTGAATCTGCTGAAGAAGACAGAGGGATGTAGTGGAAAAGTACTGGGTTTAGGAGCTGAGAACGTGGGTGCATGTCCCAGCTCTGCCACTTACTAGCTGTAGCACCTTGGGTGTCACTTTCCCTCTTTGGCCTTCAGGTTTCCTTTCCTTCCTTCCTTCCTCCCTTCCTCCTTCTCTGTCTCCCTCTCTTCCTTCTTCCCTTCCTTCCTCCTTTTCTCTCTTCTTCCCTCCCTTCCTTCCCCCTTCCTTTCTCCTTTCCTTTTCCCCCTTCCTCCCCTCACTTCATTTCCCTTCCTTCCTCTTCTGTCCCTTCCTCCTTCCTTCCCCCCTTTTCCCTCTATCCTTCCCCTTCTCTCCCTCTTTCCCTTCCTTCCTTTCTTTCCTCCTTCTTTTCTTCCTTCTTTCTTTCCTGTCTTCATCTGGGGTACATGAACTTATTTAAAAATATTTTGAGGGGCAGCTAGGTGGCGCAGTGGATAGAGCACCGGCCCTGAAGCCAGGAGAACCTGAGTTCAAATTCGGCCTCAGACCCAACACTTGACACTTACTAGCCGTGTGACCTTGGGCAAGTCACTTAACCCCAATTGCCTAAAAGCCAAAAAATAAAAAATAAAAAAAATATTTTGATAACTATATTTCAATATAATTGGTTTCCTTTCAAATTCTTTGTATTTTGTGCATTTAAAAACATTTGTCTGAGAAGAGGTCCATAGGCTTCACCAGACTGCCAAAGGCATCCATGACAGATAAAAAAGTTTAAGAACAACTAGTCCAATGCTAAATTTACTAGGATTCTCACTTCTAGGGGCCTGTAGTGTTGGATTCTAAACTTACATTATGCCTAGGCAGAACATCATTACTTGATAAGAATTTGCAGCATCAGATTTTGGCCCCCTTTCTATGAGAAAGAGATGGGTGGGACTATTGTTTGAAAATCCAAGTCAGCATCTTCATTCCTCTGGCCACTGACCCTTGTTAAAAAGAGAAAACCCTCCTGGGGGAGGGAAAATGAGCTTTGATAACCAATAGTTTGCTTGATTACAGAAATACTGACTGAGAGTGGGAAAGGACCTCAGGGAGCATGTAGTACAACCTATACAAGAAAGGCAACCACACCATAGCATACCAGATCCATTCTCTGCTTGACAATCTCTAAAAGGGACGGGGGAAACTCACTACCTCTAGATACAGCTTCTTCCACTTTAAATCAAATATTAGGGTGGGGTTTTTTTGAACTTTTTTTTCTTTCTACTGATATGAAACTTAATTTGACTATTTGCAAATTCTGTCCATTGCTTCTGATTCTGCCCTTGGGGATATGGGAATAGAAATGGAACAAATCTAATTCTTCATTCATAGCATATACTTTTAAATGCTTGATGACAACTTCCTATTTATTCCAGATTCTTCTTTTTTTACATATAAATTTATTTTTAGTTTTCAACATTTACTTCCACAAGATTTTAAATTCCAAATTTTCACCTTGTCCCTCCCCACCCCAAGATGGCATGCATTCTGAATACCCTTTCCCCTAGTCTGCCTGCCCTTCTATCTCTCCCCTCCCCTTCTTTTATCCCTATCTCCTTCTATTTTCCTGTAGGGCAGGATAGATTTCTGTACCTCATTTCTGGCATTTCTTATTTCCCAGCTGCATGTGGAAACATTTTTTTAAAACATGTTTAAAACTTTGGGTTCCAAATTTTCTCCCTTCCTCACACCCCACCCACCCTCACTGAAAAGGCAAGCAACTCAATACAGGCAGTTATGCAAAATACTTCCATAGTAGACATGTTGTGAAAAACTAATTCTATTTCCCTTAATCCTATTCTGCCCCCTCTATTTATTCTATTCTTTCTTTTGACCCTGTCCCTCCTCAGAGGTACTTCCTGCTGATTACCCCTTTCCCAATCTGCCCTTCTCTCTATCATCCCCCTGCTCTCTTGTCCCCTTCCTCCCCTATTTTCCTGTAGGATAAGACAGATTTTCATAACCAATTGAGTGTGTATGTTATTCCCTCCTTAAGCCAAATCCTATCAGAATAAGATTCCCGCATTTCCTCTCACCTTCCCCTGTTTCCCCTCCACTGTAAGAACCGTTTCTTGTCTGTTTTGTGCAAGATAATGTACCCCATTCTACCTCTCCCTTTCTCCTTCTCCTAGTATAATCCTCTCTCACCCCTTAATTTTATTCTCCAGATATCACACCTTCATCTTCAACTCACCCTGTGCCCCCTCTCTCTGTCTCTCTCTCTCTCCATACATATAATTTTTCCCCTCCCACTATCCTAATACTGATAAAGGTCTCATGAGTTATAAATGTCATCTTTCCATAAAGGGATGTAAACAGTTCAGCCTTAATAAGTCTCTTAGGATTTCTCTTTCCTCTTTACCTCTTCATGTTCCACTTGAGTCTTGTATTTGAAACTCAAATTTTCTATTCAGCTCTGGTCTTTTCATCAAGAATGCTTGAAAGTCCTCTATTTCACTGAATGACCATTTTTTCCCCTGAAGGATTATACTCAGTTTTGCTGGGTAGGTGGTTCTTGGTTGTCCTTTGCCCTCTGGAATATTATATTCCATGTCCTCTGGTCCCTTAATGCAGAAGCTGCTAAATCTTGTGTTATCCTGATTGTGTTTCCACCATACTTGAATTGTTTCTTTCTGGCAGCTTGTAATAGTTTCTCTTTGGGAACTCTGGAATTTGGCTATAATATTCCTATGAGTTTTCCTTTGGGGATCTCTTTCAGGAGGAGATCGGTGGATTCTTTCAATTTCTATTTTGCCCTCTGGTTCTAAAATATCAGGGCAGTTTTCCTTGATAATTTCTTGAAAGATGATGTCTAGGCTCTTTTTTTGATCATGGCTTTCAGATAGTCCAATAATTTTTAAATTCTCTCTCCTGGATCTATTTTCCAGGTCAGTTGTTTTTCCAATGAGATGTTTCACATTGTTTTCTAATTTTTCATTCTTTTGGATTTGTTCTACTGTGTCATGATTTCTCATAAAGTCACTATCTTCCAACTGCTCTATTCTAATTTTTAAGGAAGTATTTTCTTCAGTAATCTTTTGGACTTCTTTTTCCATTTGGCCAATTTTTCTTTTTAGGGCATTCTTCTCCTCATTGGCTTTTTGGACTTCTTTTGCCATTTGGGTTAGGCTATTTTTTAAGGTGTTATTTTCTTCATTATTTTTTTCGGTCTCCTTTAGCAAGCTGTTGACTTGTTTTTCATGATTTTCTTGCATCACTTTTCATTTCTTTTCCCAGTTTTTCCTCTACTTTTCTTACTTGCTTCTCAAAATCCCTTTTGAGCTCTTCCAAGGTCTGGAATGGATTCATATTTTTCTTGGAGTCTTTGGATGTAGGAGCTTTGACTTTGTTGTCTTCTTCTGATTGTATGTTTTGATCTTCTTTGTCACCAAAGTAAGATAATATAGTCTGACTCTTTTTGGGAGGTTTACTCATGATCCCAGCCAACTACTTGAGTTTTAAACTCTTCGTTAAGGTAAAAGTCTGCTTCAATGTGGAGAACGTACTGTCCCAAGCTTTGGGGGTTTGTATAGCTATTTTCAGAGATACTTGTAGGGACCAGTAAATTTTCAGTTCTTCCAAGGTGGTATGATAAGGGTTGAGGTATTTACTCTTTTCCTGGCCTGTCCTCTGGTCTTTGAGTGACTGGCCATAAGCAGTCTTTTCTCTCTTGGAACTGTGAGGAGGGTTTTCTCTTCACTGCCACTACAAGCTCCGCTGCTCCAGTGTTCCTCCTTACCCCAGGACCACCACCCAGAACTGTGACCCAGATCCAAGTATGGGCAAAGCAAAAGATTCCTGCCTGAGCACCAGCAAAAAGATCCCTGCAGGCCCCCTCTGATCAGCTACCTGATTCCCCCTCAGTCTGTGGGCCGGAAGCTCAGGACCGATCCACCACCCCAGAGCTAATGCTCTGCACTCTGGAACTGGCTCTGACCTAGCTCCTCTCTCACTGTAAAAACAGACTTTTCCCATTGATCTTCTAAGTTGTCTTCGGTGTACGTGGATTGCGGAATCTGGAAACCACCACAGATGCCTGTGATTCATTCCTCTGAGGCCTGCTCCAGGTTTGCTACGGCCTGCTCGCCCATGCCAAATTGCACTCCTTTCCCCCGCCCGGCGCGATATGCCTTTCCAATCAACCATCCAGGCTGTCTTGGGCTGGAAATTTGTTTTACTCTGTCTTTTTGTGGGTTCTGCTACTTTAGAATTTGTTTAGAGCCATTTTTTTACGGGTATTTGGAGAGGTTTGGGGGAGAGCTCAAGCAAGTCACTGCTTTCACTCTGCCATATTGGCTCCGCCCCCCTCAGATTCTTCTTTAAAGAAAAAAATGGTATTGATTTTGCAGGAGAGGGTGTTGGTGGAGAGACTGGAGAGTGTGGAAGAGTTGTCACTGAGGAAGGCTGAGGACATGGATGACAACCTTGACTTCTTCCACAGCTTTGCTTAGAGTTAGCCCTGTTCAGGTTAATTCCTTCATAGTCTCCTGGCCAAGGGCCAAAGTTTTGATTTGAACCAAATTTTCAAATCTGTACTTGCAATTGAAAACTAAGTAAAACCTTTTGAGCATGAGTACTAAGAAAATTTCTTCTGGAACTCCAAATGCGTCTCAATATAAGGATTCCTGAGATTTAAGCAGTATTAGATTGGGGGGGGGTAATTGGGGACAACTATGGATTCCACACATAAGCTGCACCAGAAAAGGGGCAAAGCAGAGTCAAAGCAAGGGGGATAGAAGGTAAGTTCATGGAAAATAGTTTTGGGAAGAATGGCAAAAGTGGAACCATTTTCTCCTTTTCCTTCCCTTGACCATGAAGAGGAAATGTGCTTAGACTGAATTATTTGGAGAATTCATATCTAA